TTCCAATGATGGATTCTTGGGTAAGTTTCTGGTTCGGTCGTTATAGCATCCTAAAATACTCCTATAGTATTTTAACCCTTATGTTAGGTTCTAGAACTCTTCTGGTATCTAGGTTAGTTTTAGGCTTGTTGCAACACCACAGTCACTCCCAAGCACATGTTGGTCATGTCTCGAATTAATATAGTTGATCAGGTTATATTGATCCTAGACATGATTACATAACCGCCCAGGTTTAACCGCGATGTCCAACATCCAGATACTTTTGTTTTGTTCTACTTATGACACGGATTCTGGTACTCGGGTATACTTATATACTTTGTTATAAAAATACTTATATTTTTTAAAGTATACTTTTAGTTTAGAGCACTTAGGCCCCTTAATATTTATAGTTGTATACCATGTAAGGTTCGGTATACTTAGTTCGCTATAAACAAGGGCTCTGATACCAATATGTCACACCCCAAAACCGGAACGGCGGAAACGTTCTGGGCGGAGGACGCCATGTGTAGTATCATAACAATTGTATCATAGCAAGCATAGTAAACACAACCAGACATTGAATACATATATGAAAAAGGTTTACATTGTTTAATACAGAGTTTTGTTCATAGAAAAGACGTGACTCTAACGCTTCGACTTCTCCGAACTCCTGGAAGTACCTGTCTACTAATTCCCTGAGAATACAAGAAGTTTTGAAAGAATATCAGCATAAAGCTGGTGAGTTCATAAGCATTTAGTTTAGGTGGAAACATGTTCTTTGATTCTTTTGAAAAGTGTTGCTTAAGAAAATCCTATATTTTCTTATGAAAAGCGTGTTTGAAATCCCATTCATTCCATGACTACCAGATTCATACAAGATATGTACAATCCAAGGTGTCGTGGAATGAATATGAATATCCGTTGGTTACATGTTAAACAATCCGTTTTTAAATAGCCGGGTTATCCCGGGAAAATCATATATTTTCCCTAAAGGTTGATGATTGGTTATCCGTTCTAAACTGAGGTGTACAAGTATCTACCATACTTATATCGATAAAAGCAGTTTCCTTTTAAAAACCCTGGTTACACCCAATAAGATATATTAGCCTTATTACATAAATAAAACTAAATAAAAGAAAACGGGATGAACTAAATCCTGAAGGTATTATTAACACCTTCCAGTAATCTATCGGTTATTACTTTGAGGTTAGTTCACTTGATTAATTATTACAAAAGTAAATCTCTGCTATCTAGGTTGTGAGGGTCATGACCATAACTGACTGGATAAGGCATGTACTAGAGCCGGTATCATTTATGACTTTGTCACCCGTAGACCTGCCGGTCCAACTGTAGCTAGCAGCGAGGTGCGGGATTGTCAGTCCTGTATAGATCTATACACAACAGTCACGCTCTCCCTACAAGAGATTCTGGTCACGACTACTAGTCCTACACTCTGATTCTGTGGGAATGTTACCAAGGACGTGTCTCAAACTTAGACTAACAAATTTACAAGTAATAATATAGAAATCATTTTTATGATAAACATGAATCCTTTATAAAATATTACATTTTACTATATGATTCATAAGTTCATTACCCTAGTTTTGAAAGCTTTTTCTACGAGTTGATTTCTTAATCGTTTGGTAAAAACTGTTCTCCATGTTAAAAGCATACTGAAAATATAATTATCTTAAACAAAAATAATATATTTTGAGCACAAGTTTCCTTATGCTTTTGCTTGTATTCCCTCCTGAAAACGTTAAAAACACGGAAAATGTAGGGGTATGAAATCACTTCGGGTAAGTGGTTTGAATGAAGGATCGATACCGAATGCTGGATGTTCAAGTGAAGCCTTGAACACGATTTGATCCTAATTAACACGTAATAACACATAAAGGAGTCAAATGAAGGTATTTCACCACTAGATGTGATGGAGAACCACTCTAGGGACTTGGAACTACTTGCACTAAGTGTTAGGACCTTAAAGGATTGCATGAGGGGAGTGTATGGCCACCTTAAAGGTGTGTGCGGCCCAAGGGGTGTGCGGCCGTACACTCATGTTGGAAAGGGTATTTGAGGTGTTTCAAGGTCCATTCTTGCATCCATGAAGTGTTCTAGGTCCATACTTAGTTGTAGTACAAGTTTAGGGTCTTAGAAATGGGTTTGTGGTCCTAGGATGTGTGTGTGTGGTCGCACACAGGAGTGTGTGGTCGCACACTAAGGTGTGTGGTCGCACACTGGAGTGTGTGGTCATACAAGGGTGTGTGCGGCCGTACACAGGTGTGTACGGTCGTACACCCCACAAGATGATGTCCAAAATGCCAATTCCAAGGTGCAACAAGGCTAAGGTCATGTCTATCTCGAATATGGAAGTCAAACTCTCACTTTGGAGGGCATTTTAAGAGTGTGCGGCCACCTTAAGGGGGTGTACGGCTGCACTCTCTTCCAAACACGAAGAACATGTCGATTATTGCTCACTTAGGGCTTAGATAGAGTGGTCTTTCAAGCACAACAAGTTAAGGGATGGATTACTCATGTTTTTGAAGCTTTGGAGGGTTTGTGGTTGAAGAATCTTGAGAGAAATGGTGTTGTGTGCTGCCAAGGTGTTAAAGGAATGAAAGGAAAGGGGTCTACCCTTTATATAAGGGTGGGTGTGCTGCCTAGAGGTGAGTGTGTGGCCAAGGGATGAGTGTGCGGCCGCACACCCATGTGTATGGCCATACACTCCTCCAAAGGATGTGTATGGCCCGGTTTTGTCACCCTACAACTTGCTGACTCATTCCTAACTTCATCCTTGGCTGTACTCAAGCCTAGAACGCTTAAATGAACCTTCAAACAGTGCAAGAAGTCAACAAAACAAGTTTAACTTTGATTGAATTAACTAAGTGTACGAGATAGAAGTTCCGGGTTGTCACAGTGCCACACATTATGTCGGAGGTGGTGACATGACATTCATCTAGCGATGACACGTGTCTCAATCTCGTGGGTTGTCGATGCACCCCGCACATCTTGTCTATGCATGCGACTGCGCACGAATTTCTATAAAATTTGAGAAAACTCATATCTTCTTCATACGAGCTCCAGTTTGACAGGTAGCTATCGATGAGATCTACAACTTTTATTTAGACTCCATCGACTAAGTTTGACTTTATTTTTAAAGTTATATTTTTAATAGGCTTAGACTATTAAAGTCCGTTAAAAATTCATAACTTTCTCGTCCGATGTCCGTTCTCGACTGTCTTTATATCAACGGACTCCTATTAACGAGATCTTCTATTATTGTTTAAATTGTTTCGGCTAAAAATCAACCGATCTAAAATCTGATTTCTGTATCAACACACTTACACTGAAATATTAGAAAAATCATAACTTCCTCTCATGAAGTCAGATTTAGACGTTCTTTATATGCACGCTGTCGGTTTTATGGTTACTACAACTTTTCTTTAGATCACTTAGGCTAATAAGTGATCTATCTCTGATTCACTATTTATGACACTCGGTGTCGTATCGGGTCGAACGCGAAACTTCAAGGAATCGTAAATTCTTCGTTATAAGTCGGATTAGAGTGTTCCTTATACCTCCAGAATCTTCATCACGACTACATCCTTTTCATCAAGGTTATTCGTCCTAATTGTTATTCTATTTAAGACACATATTTTATTTCTTATTTTATTATATCATTTTAAGCATGTATACTACATATAACTACATATAGAACACATAATACTTAATAATTCTCTTTATTACTTCATATAAATGTTACAATTGTTGACCATTACAATTATATCACCTTATTAATGCCTAAAGAGAAAACTTGAGTGTTACATTTACTAACTATAACTGAGTCCAATACATTTATATTAACCTTCTACGTATTTAACAACTACTCTTATTGATGAGTTTTGAGCATAACAACATTCCTATGTGTTGAGTAAAATTGACAATTATGTTACCTGGTTAAGCTATATAGGTCCCAGTTTCTTTGTAAATATATATGCTTCCCTTTTTATCTTAATCTTACATGTAAGAAGAATAATCTGCATTCCATATGATACACAGCTGTGGAGTATTTTATATTGTGAGAGGTGGATTGCTTCTTCAAGACCTGGAACACAAAGCATAACCACTTTTGGAATTAGAGGCTTGTATTGGAAAGAAAAAGGATCATATTAAGTATATCTACTTTCTATTCTAAAATAAACAAAGGACATGACTAGGCCCTTGTTTTCTTTTTCCATTTTATCTGTCACCCTCTTCACTCTATAAGCAGTTGGTAAAATTCATATTCGTTCTGTGGTTTTTACCATTTTACCCTTGGGGATTGTTTTATCTTGTTTTTACCATTTTTCCCTTGGGGACTGTTTGATCTTCTTGGGTGCTAGTGTGGGGTTTACATTTAATGATAAGCACTCTTTTGTCATCAATTTCTTTGAGGTTGAAAGCATGTTTACTATCAAGTGCTTCCCCTATCCAAAATATTTGTGTTGGTCTCTTTGTTACCTGTTGCCTCTAATTCTTATTCCATTTTTTTCTTTTTATAAAGCTTCCCATTCTTTTTATTCTCCTTATAAAAATTTAATAATTTGTTATTTGAACTCAAAGTCAGGTACTATGGCCTTGAATAATGACAATGGGAAAAAATGTGATTGGCCAGATAAGTCGGTCATGATTTTGTGTGATATTTTAAAAAAAATATATCATGAAGAATGGTCGTACCTCTCCAATTAAATGGCAAGACCTTCAGCCAATTTTTGAAAAAGATGTTAATACCAAGTTAAATAACTACAAAGTGTTAAAGAACAAGTATGATGGAATGAGAAAAGACTACAATCTTTGGAAATCCTTAAAAATTGGGGAGACCGGTCTTGGTTGGAATGAGAGTACACGACAACTAAATTGTCCAGATGAATGGTGGGACAAAAAATTAAGGTAATAAATTTGAATATATTTTTTAACCAATGCAACTTTCTCGTTATCTTGAAAACTAACAGAAAAAAATTATACTATATACGAAAACACGAATGTTAAGGGAATTCGAAAAACAACCTTCTTTAGAGCTACAAGAAGCATATGATCAAATATTTGGGGATACGGTTGCGAGTGGTGCAGACTGCGTGGCACCATCCATGGATCCAAGTACTCTCAATGCTATGCCTCATGTTATTATTGATGATGTAGCAACCAATGATCATGTCCCAGCTAGTGATGACACTTTTTTCTCTTCTCAAAACCTTCGACACTCTTCTCACTTGGATAACTTAGACGAAGAAAACGCTGCTTTTTATTCAAATTTCATGAATTGGGTCGGCGGTGTCTTGTCACCGAACAATATTGGGGATCTACTCAACATCAAAAGAGTTCCAAAGAAAGTTCCAAAGTTAAACCTATACATATGAAACGTAAAAACAGAGAGTCAGCTGGATCTGTAATGTTTAAGGGATTTATGACTCAACAAAATGTCATTCAAAAATGTACTCTTGAACTATTAGAGTCGGATACATCTACTGTCAATCAAAGTCATGATTTTAGTATAAGTGCAGTCGTAGGTTTGATTAATCGAATGGTTGATGATGGGATAATGACAAATGGGAGTGACTTGTGGTGCTTTGCAATGAGTTTGTTTGAAGATCCAGTAAAAAGAGAATTGTTTTTAACTCTCCCAAACGATGCGGGTAGGTTAGCATGGCTGAATTATAAGAATAGCATTGGCAAGTAACTTTTTTTTAATAATTTCATCGATGATTTATTATTGATAGGATTTTTTTTTAATTTGAGTGGGTTATTTCATTTGGATATTGTTCTATTTCAATTTTTAACTCTACATACTGGATTTATGATGCCCTGTGTTATGATTAATTTAGAGATTATATATGATTTTTGCATATTTCATGCTTATAATAATCATCTTAAATAGATGTTTGTGTTTGAATGGATATTGAAAGAAAGAAAAAGATAAGGAAACATTATTATTCACAAAGATTATCAAACTCATGCTCTGCGAGTGTTCTAGCTGTTGCATATTTTTTCAAATATGTGTATAAGGAACCTTGTATGACATCAACTCAAACAAGAGTGTCTTGGATTAATGAAATTTTGAATGGTCATCCTATTCAATATGGGAGCTGATTCTTCCACTGGTGGTTTATTATCCATCCACAGATATTTAAATTTGTTGACATTTATACCCTTATACCCTCACTTTAACTATACCCTTTTTTTATCAAACATGCGTTCTCTCACCCTCTCACACACATAAACACAAACACACACACAACAACACAATCTATAATTTCATTTTAAGAACCCAGCTTTATGTGCAACTGAATTCGAATAGTTTAAATTATCAACATGTGTAAATCCAAAAAATTGGTTATCAAGTTGAGAAACAGAAACGACTAAAATTTTGCATTTTAATAATAGAACATCAAAAAAATGTCAACGGAGATTAACTTGTTGAGAAAATCATACAAGAAGCCAAAGCCCTAGAGCTAGAAACTTGTAAATTTGAAAAACCTCGAAGGAGACCTTCAGACTCTTTTTCTTTGAGTATTTTTTTTCTTGGAGGACGAACCGCTTCACCCCCATTAGCTTCTAATTTACTACTGATTTCATGCGATCAAAATATGTAAACAACAAAAAGGAAAACGAAAAGAGGGAAAATTACGGGATAACCAGAAAGATATTTGAATCGTATATGTGATGAATCGATCAAATTAGCAGATTGTAACTGCCATTGAAGCCCAATCTCTCAATCTCTCACGATGACCCGTAGAGCCACCAAACCACCAATAAGGGGTAAGAGAAGGATACCGAGCAAAGTGTATCCAAAGATGCCTCTTAGATTTCTGTTTGGTTCCCTCATGAAGACTTTGGTTTAATGAGGCTTTTGACCTTGGGTGTTTTTTCCAATCGATATCAAAATTGTAGATGTAGCCGATACTCCATGGTTGTGGTGGTTTGATTGAAGATGGAGTTTGCAGAAAAATTAATATGCGTTTTCTATGGCTTAAAGCAAACCTAGAACTTATTCAAATTGTAAAGAGAGAGATAATCGAGTCTTTCTGGTTATTGTCATTTGATCGAAGGAGGGAAGAGATTATTTTTTACAGTGAATGGAATGGTTATGAAGAAGAGATATGTGTGTGTCAGTGTGTGTGAGAGAGAGGAGGAGTAGTCGTGGGTTTATAGTAAATGGAATGGGCTTTTCTCTTTCTTCAAAGATATAATTTAAATAAGGGTATAAATGTCAATAGATATAATTATCAGTGGAAGGATAAAAAGTTATAGTGGATTTATCAGCTCCCATTCAATATGTGTTTTACCTTTGGATTTGTTGGGTGGGAATGATCTGCACATGACACGCGTGTGTTCCTTCATGCTATTAACACACCATCAATGAACTTCCCCAAACCACCTGAAGGTAAATTATCATAATTATCTTCATTATTTTACTATTATTATATAAAAGATGTTACAATTTCTTATTTTTCACCATTTTAACAGGTAAATATTATTTGGTTGATAAATGTTAATCCATATAGAAATGGATATATGGTTCCATATTCTAAGACAAGATACCATCAATCTCGATTTCAAATTGAGCCTCCAACTAATATGCAAGAAGCTTTTAATCGCTCACATTCATTGTTGCGAAGTTGTATTAAAAAATCATTTGGGATCTTGAAGAGTAGATGGAAGATACTTAATGGAATGCCTAAATTTAGTGTGCAAACTCAGATTGACATTATTATGGCCACGTTGCTTTGCATAACTACATTCGTCGTAGCGCTGAGGAAAATATGTTTTTTAATTTTGTTGCAGAACATCCTGATTGTGTACCAATTGATGAACTTCGTGATGTTCGTGGTAGTGACACGAGTAGTGAAGACTTTTACGAAGGATCTAATAATATGAAGTGTGTCCGTAATGATATTGATACGTTAATATGGAATGCTCGGCGTCGATGATTTTATTACTAGATTTTTTATGTTGTCGTATGACTTTAGGTTTTGTAATAGTACCTAGTTATCGAATATTTTCTAGTTTTAAAACAGAACAATTTAGACAATTATTTTTTCATTATTATGTTTATATTTTATATTTTATAAGATGCCCTTTTATGTAATTTTACATGTTTTAAACGCTTCCAGCTACTTTTTCCGAACACTTATATAACAAATAAAAGCAACAGCTACCCGCTAGTTTTGCTGAACACACCCTTAATGATTATTATATTATTAATATAATATTTTTATACTTTTGACTTTTATTTTAATGGTTTTGATTTGATATTGGTTTTAACATGGTGTATTTAGAATGCCCCCTATGTTACCCGAGTTCGAAATTTGCATGACAACGCTTTCCTTTTTTATTACTCAGACAGTCAACATTTTGTTATTATATTTCATTTTTAATAAATTTTATAAGGGAACTGATTCGTACACAACAAAATTTTTCCATACACAACAATTTGTGCATTCAAGTGTTGTATTGTACAATTTTATAAAGCATAAATTGTTGTGTATGGAGAAAAATTGTTGTGTACAAATCACTTCCCATTTTATAAATATCTTTCAAATCAAGTGGTAGTTTACTTGGCTAGCGGCCTAGCAGTGGTTTTATTACTATTTCCTTCTAAACTGACCTAGGTAGGATACAAAATTTAATCATCTAACACTTATTTATTTTGTTTTCAATTTCTTATTATTTTTATGTGATTAATTACTTTTCTTTTTCTTTTATTTGGATAATTTTTAAAATAATTATCAGCTTATCATAATATTAGTGAACGTTGGTTATAAAAATAAGAGAAATTAAATATTCTCCTACTTTTGTTCCTACAAATCCTCCTACCCAATTAAATGATGACATGTGTTATTTTAGTATACTAAAATATCATTAAAATGAACATTAAATGTGACACATGTCATCATTTAATTGGGTAGGAAGATTTGTAGGAACAAAATGTAGGAAGATATTTAATTTTTCTAAAAATAAAAATATATTTAGGGGGTCCATTTTTATTTTCGCATAGGCCTTTAAAATCAACTGACAGACCTGCATAAATCTTCACGAGCCGATCTCGAGCTCCACACCATAAGGCTTGTTTGAGCCCTAAACTTTTAATTCGATTGTGACTTTATGTCGATTTTTGTTATTCTATTGATTGAAACCTGTGTTAAGTGCAGTGTGATACAGAAGAAAAGGATTCATGTGATTCGGGATGTGGTGTGATGGATGTATGATGAACAGTGCTTTGAGTACACTTTGAAAGCTGGTGGGATTACGAGGGAAGAAGACTATCCTTGCACAGGAAGTGATAGTGGAAGATGTAAATTTGATAAAAACAAGATTGTAGCATCAGTGAGTAATTTAGTGTGGTGTCTCTTGATGAAGACCAAATTGCTGCTAATCTTGTGAAACATAGTCCTCTTGTTGGTACGCATATTTTCTATGATTTTAAGCATATGCCTATTTTACCCGTTAGATTTGGCTAAAATAAAAGAAGTAATTCTCTCATTTGAAGGCAAGAGAATATCTCTAAAAGGAATAAATATTCTTTTCGAATTGCGATTGCTTAGCTGTCGCTTTATGTCGGTAAAAGTATTTACACAAGTGTGCGAAGAAATATTCATTATTATCGTGCTTATTTTGCTAACATCCAAAACAAGATATTCTTGTGCAAAGAAAAATTTGCTATTATTGTGTACTCATTTTGTTAAATTCCATTTATGACTGTTTTTGTCCATAGAAGTTTGTGACTTTGTGTTGACCATAATTCTACTATCATATCTTCATTCCACACAATCATATAGTATTACCACAAATAACCAAAACAACAGTATACATCTGGTCAAAAGATGACAATTTGAAGAAGTAGTAGTCAAATACGGCAAGAAATGCTTGCATAAAGTTAGAATATGACAAAAGACGCCATTTTAATCAAAGCTAAAAGACAACATCAGTTGAGCTACATAAGTGGATTTTGACAAGGCTTGCTGCTGTCCACATAACTTTACGTGTCAAAATCAACAACACCTAGGAATACAAACGCAGCAATTATCTCGGGAACTTTGAGCCCTTTAATTGCAAATCTCCTTTCTCCTCCATTCTCTCACTCGTTAACATTGTTGGATTTGAGCATCAATAATTTTTCCCTACCTGAACCTAAATTTTAACCCATCTATGAAATTGATTTAATTGGAAACCGGTTCCTGCAATTGAATCTGTCTAAAACCAATTCTCTTAAAACCAGTCCAGCCATTGGAGCTGTGTCGTACAGTCACCAATCTCCACCTACAACATGGAAAGAGAAAAATCCAAGATCGGGAATTGATAATACTGTCGGACCCATCAGATTCCGACAACACAGTCGAAATCGCAATCGCTAATGACT